ATTGAAAACATTTATTTGTAAAGATATATACTCATATACCCCTATGTTCATTGCAATATTATTCATGATGGCCAAGATGTGAAAACAACTGAAGTGTCATTCAATGATGCACTAGTTCAATTTGTCTATTTTTTCTTTTGCCTTTGGTGTCATATCCAAGAAATCATTGCCAAATCCAATGTCGTGAAGCTTTTGTCTTATGTTTTCTTCTAAGAGTTTTGTTGTTTAGATTTTACATCTATGTCTTTGATCCATTTTGAGTTAATTTTTATATATGGTGTTAGGTAAGGATTCACCTTTATTTTTTTGCATGTGGATGTCCACTTTCCCTAGCACCATTTTTTGAAAAGACTGTCCTAGGGCTGTGTATTTTTGGTCCATACTGGTGGTGTAAATTCAAACCCTTTACCCTCATCAAGGCAGGCCTGGATTCACTAATTATCAGGGAAGACTGGGTTTTTACCCATAGTACAGACTAAGATAGTTTCCTAATTGTCTTTCATTGCCAACAGACACATTCTGTTTCTTTTTTCCCCTTGCAATGGCAGCACTTGGAGAGTACCAGATTCATGCAGGGATCTTGACATAAGCCCACTGCCTTTTTTCCCATGACCCCTTGTGGTTATTAAAAGCCCAAGATTCTAGTTTTTACAGAGATTAGCAAATGCTCTTAGGCCAACCATGGCTTCAGGGCCAACTTTCTGCTCTTGTTTATCTCTCTTGATTTTCAGACCCTGGAGATGTCCCTTACTTTTGTACAAATTAAGCTATACATTTGAAGGATTTCTATTCTATTTTATTGGCTAGCATTTCCAGATATTTTACTTTCCCTCAGATTTCCAGATATGAAAATCCTGACTCATTTTTCTATTCTTTCTTCCTCAGTAGTGAAAACATTTAAAGGTCTCTAATTTATTTTTTCTGAGAATGGCTCTGGACAGGTGTTATGAAATTTTCATAATAGTGACCTATGCATTCATTTATTTAGGAGAATTTTAATTGCCAGTTTGTGGGATTTTTTTGTTGTTATTTAAATTTTTGTTACTAATTTCTGTTTTTATTGCATTGTGGTTTGACTCATGCAACTTGAAATATACTCAATTTTTGTAAAGATTATGTTTGCAAAGAACTTTTGTTTATATTACAAAAATTGAAATGCAGGGCTGGCCAAGTGGCTCAGTTGGTTAAGAGTGCGAGTTCTGAGCAACAGGTTCGCTGGTTCGATTCCCACATGGGCCCGTGAGCTGCGCCCAGAGTTGAGCTGCTACTGTGCTGCCAACAGGTGACAGGATGGCTCAGCTGGGGAGAGCACATGCTCCTAACAACAAGGTTGCCAGTTCAACTCCTACATGGGATGGTGGCCTACACCCATCCGCAACTAAGAATGAACACAGCACCTTGAACTGAGCTGCCCTGAGCTGCTGACGGGTGGCCGGATGGCTCAGTGGTTAGAGCATGCACTCTTACCAACAAGATTTCTGGTTTGACTCTCACATGGGATGGTGGGCTACGCCCACCTGCAACTAAGATTGAACATGGCACCTTGAGCTGAGCAGCCGCGAGCTGCCCACGGGGGGGCCGGATGGCAACTGGACTTAAAGCTGAGCTAGCTGTGCCCTCCACAACTAAGATTGAAGGACAGCAACTTGGCTGTCCCCCTTCCCAATTCCCCAACACTGTTCCCCTTCCCCAATTCCCCAATAAAATCTTTAAAAAAAGAAAAGTAAAATGCAAATGATAAAAGTAACATTTCTCCTGTATTCCTTACTATAAATCGTATTTCCTTTCAGCCCTCCCCTAGAGTCTGGCCTCTTTTGCTTCCCATTAGAATTTTAGAATTGTTGATAGGAGTGTAATATAAGTTTAAAACTATTACTGATAATTCAGAGCTTGTTTCCTGCTTGTGTTTTTATTTTTATTTTTCATTTATTTCTTTTTTTTTTTAGCTGAGCCATCCTGCTACCTATTGGCAGTTTAGCAGCAGCTCAGCTCGGGCATAGAACCGCTGTTGCTCAGAGCTCAAACTCTTGAGCCAGAGCTTGTTTCCTAAAATAATCATTAGCTCTCATCTTCTTCATATACTTAGGTGGCCAAGACATTTTTATGACAGAAGAACAGAAGAAATACTATAATGCAATGAAAAAATTAGGATCCAAAAAACCTCAGAAGCCCATTCCAAGGCCTCTGGTGAGAGCAATTGATTAATTCTAAATATATAGATCTATTAAGGGGTTATGATGAACTCAGATGTTTACAGTGCTGTTCTGATTTGATTTTTTAAATTTATAGACATTATTCAAGAACTCAATAAAATCCCATATATGCTGGTGTCTGGCTCAAGGCCTTAGGAAAATTAGACACTCAGATTCAATACTAGGCGCCTGGTCAACAACTTTGTTTTTTAGTGAGCACGCGGTAGGTGCTTAGTATATACTTATTGCAATGACGTGAACTTAACAGTCTGTTTTCACTTAACCTTGACCAGTTTAAACTATATTTATAATGTCTTTTGTCAACTTTTTCTGCTGTGAAGTTGAGGTCATGCATAGTCACTTCCACTTCCCAAGTGTTTATGATAAACTTTCTATTTTAGGCGCTGACAAACTTTTTGTGCAAAAGGTCAGGTGGTAAATGTTTTAGGCTTTGCAGGCCATATGGTCTCTGCTGCTACTACTCCGCTCTGCCATTATAGCACAAAGCAGCCATAGACAATATAGAACAAATATGCATGGCTGTGTTCCAAAACAACTTGATTTAGAGACACTAAAGTTTAGATTTTGTATAATTTTCATATGTCAAAATTTTAGTCTTCTTTTGAATTTTCCCCCAAACATTTGAAAAACTGTAAAAAGCATTCTAAACTCACAGGCTCTACAAAAACAGGTGGTGGGCTGGATTTGGCTTCCAGGCCATAGTTTGCTAACTAACCCCTGCTTTCTACGAATCCTGCTTTGCCAGGCACTAGACGGCTGTTCTGTGATTACAGTCTAATTGAAGAGCTGGGATTTGAGAGCATAAGATTATAAAGTAATACAATAGGCACTGTTGGTAGCTCTGACAAGTGAGTTTGAAGGATTTCAAGGCAGGGAGGGTCAGTGGGAGTTAAAAATCTGGGAAGGCAGCATGGAAGAGGGGCTTGGTATCAGAAGCATGTGGAGGATTTGGAGACTTTCATTCAAACATGAGACCCCCAAGTTATCTAAAGTGTGTTAAACTTACTGCTAGTCTCAGCACTCAGACTAAAGCCTGGCATAAAGCGTGTTCTGTGTATTTTTTCCTTGAATGAAAGAATAAGTTTTAGGATAGACGCAGAGTCCATCCCACTAGGATTATATACTTGCTTTGCACTAAAAACATTTGTGAATGTCAGGGCCAAGTGTTTAGAATTTATAAAATGAATTTTTGGCCAAGGCGTTACTGATAAAATTATATTCCAGAGGTTTAATCTGTCAACAGAACATGGAACTTCAATTTGCCTAAGTCAAATCTAGCTTTTAAGTACTAATTTCACTTTGAAATTCTTATCTGAACTTAAGACAACAAAAGAGACAAAGAGAAGTATTATTTACATGAGCATGCTATGTAACCACTAACTCAACACCAGTGGGCCCCAGATTTGGAGTTAACTAACACTCCTGAGACACAATATGTCCCCCCATATTTACCAGTTTATTTCATGAAGGGTCTATAGCTAGCAGTGCAGCACACAGCCAAACAGAAGTTACAGTGACACAGACACAGCTTCTAGGCCTCTCCACTGCGGTGGGCAAGCTAGCAGGCTGCAAGCGATGAACTTGAAGGAGATATAGGCTGCTTTACCACAGGGAAGCTGCCACCTCTGTTCCTTGACTATCTTTTACAGCATGTTTCTCACGTGGCTCATCTGGGAGTAGGTGCCACGTCACAGCTCTCCCTATGCAGCTGTTAATCACCAGTCAAGGCTTCACAATGAGCGATTCCAACAACCAAATACAATGCCACCAGTTAACGCTGCACTTTTATCTTCACTCCTGTATTCCAGTGTGACATGAAATGAATCCAACATCATATCCCCAGATGGCCCTGAGTTGGAGCTCACAGAATTTTTTTTTTCATCTCTAAAATCTGAATACTATCTTTTGACCTTTGGAACAAATGAATAGCAATTGCATGGGGGTGGGGTGGGGTGGATACAGCTGTTTGAATCTGAGCAGTGACGGATTTCACTTCCAGCAGTAAGTACAACAAGGGATTTGAATCATTTTTTATTCTTCCTGAAGCATCCTCCCAGGGTGGCTTCATTACTGAGTTTAAAAAAGTCATACTGAGGTGTAGGGGTCACTGTACATTCCAAAGTGACAGAGAATGATTTTGATCATCTACCACTTCAGGTAACTTATACCCTTAATCGCCTCCATTTGTTCACATATTAGAGCTGAACTGTAGGGCCAATGCCTTCCCTCCCTCATGTTTATTGTTACCCCTCATCCCACCTCCCTGGAGAGTACCCTTAAAAGTGTTTTTTTCTCCAGGTCCTGTCTGACTTCCCGGGTGCATTCTCACATAGAAATGCACTTGACTCTCAAGTTTCTTCTCTAGACTCCTTAAGACTTAGGGCTCCTGGCACAGAGTTTGAAAGACACCAACTTAAATGTAGTGCCACTCCAATGCTGTTCCTCCCTCCTCCTCCTCATTGCCCTTGATCCCCTGAGTGATATCAGTCACTCTCTTGGTGTTAATTCACATCTGTATTGATACAAATGATCTCCACATCTACATTCCAGCTCTCTACTAAGTAGAGCTCCAAACCCATACTTCTACTTGCGCATGGTCCTTGGAAGCCCCATTGGCACCTCAAAATATGCTCAAAACAGATCTCATCATCTCCCCCCAAAATTCCTCATCCTCTGTTCTCCGGCTGGCTGAATGGCCCCACCAGCCAGAAAGGATATAACTTTAGTCTTAACTTTCCTGTAGCGCCCTCCATTCAAACACTCTCTGACTCCGTTAGCTCTTAAATCAAAATGCTTAAGTCTTTCTCCACTGTTACCACCACAAACCAACATCATCTTTTGCCTGAATGAACTGATGCCTGGGGTCTGAAGGATGAATTCTCTATGAGTTCTCTCAATAGAATAGTGTCTGTATACTTTGATTAAATGATAATGTAATATATACAATATATTGTAAAACAACCAATGTATAGCCAAGAATACCATACAATATCAGTGTCTGAGTTTGTGTTTAACAACAGTTTTCTGCTAAGTAAAAAACAAAATAGTGCTTCACAGTAGTTAAAGAAACAAGTGGAATAATTCTGTCATTTCACTGCGCATGGTAGATTAGGCATGCAAACTTGAGTTAGTACCTGTACCAGAGCAATTGGCACATACTCACTTTGCAAGGTCACCATTAGTAATAATATGAAATAACCAGTTGTTCTGTGTCTGGTTTTGTAATCATTGGGTGAGAATCCCATTTATCTAGCCTTATCTCCAAGTGAGCAAGAATTAGAAAGTTGGCGTTTCAGAATTGCTTGAATATAGAGTTTTGGTTAAGTATAAGGTTTGATTATTCTGAACTGAGAAATGGAGCCTTGGAGATGATAATTCCATTTTGTCCAACATAATTAGGTGAGCAGATATTCTCTGCATTAATGTTATTGAAGTCAAAATACAGAAACAGATGAAATGTAGAGACCAAAGTTTATCTTTTTATTATTAAATCCTTCATGAGCTGTTTTATTTTAGCAAAACATCATCCGTCACATCCAAATTATGTTGTTACTAAGAATTTTTTCATTTATACATTTTTGTTTTAAAATAAAAGCTATAAGCCTACAGCTTAAAAATCAGTTATTTAATTAAATTTAAGTGAAACTATGTATACAAGAATGTCTGCCCTTTAAAAAGGGTCTGTGCTTTTTTAAAGAGAGAATAATTGTAAGAGAGAATAAATTCTGTTGTGTGGGCCTTCTTTATCCATGTGAGTTCATCCTTACAACTCAAAACGCTCTATGACTCCTTTTCTTTCTTTTCTCCTCAGAACAAATGCCAAGGTCTCGTGTTTGACCTGGTCACACACCAGATCTTCGACGTCGTCATCATTGTCCTTATTTTACTCAACATGGTTAGCATGATGGCTGAGTCGCATGATCAGTCTGAAACCATGAAGACCATCCTGGACCATCTCAACGTGGCCTTCGTGGTCATCTTTACAATTGAGTGTCTCATCAAAATCTTTGCTTTGAGGCAATACTACTTCACCAATGGCTGGAATTTATTTGATTGTGTGATCGTGGTCCTATCTATTGTTAGTAAGTAAAATTAGCAGCCAGAGGGGTTTTCATCAGAAGTAAACTTGCAAGTCTTCTGGTTTGGAAGTATGTCCAAACTATCCACAGAGCAACACATTAGGCTTAATGTGATTTCCGAAAAAGCAGACAGTCATACAAATGTCATTCTTTACCGGGAAGTTGCTAGGAGATGCAGAGTCATTTCCATGCCCATAACTGTCTACGCAATTAAAATAGAGAGTTAAATGATAAGGAAGATCATTTATTTAATAGTGATAAACAAAATTAAGATGACTTAAAGGTTTCTGTGGGGACACCTTGTTTATCCAGGTAATTGAGTCAAAGTTCTATATTTCCTGTACAACAAGAAGCCCTAATGAACATTTTATAGTTTTAAGGATTTGGCATTGAGTTCCCATGTTTTTCTCTGGTTCAAAATCCATGTGCATGTCAGATCACAATTAGTATACCCTTGTGACATTGTCAGGCCTTCCCTCACCTCCTGTACGAGGTCTCTGTGGCCCATCCTCGACGGGGCTTCCACAGTGTGCCATGAGGCCAAGCAGTACTTTCTCTTTACTCTGTATCCTGTGGTAACTTAAACCACAGCATGAGCTGTGCTTGTCTCAGCTGCCTGGGCCCCATTCACCAACCAGCCTCACTCTATAATCAGTGTATTTTCCCTAACCACAGGTATGATTACCTATAACATTTATGAAGGAAGAATAGGAATAAAAGAGGGTTTTTGCCATATACAGTAATACCTTGGTTTGCAAGCATAATTTGTTCCGAAAACAAACTACTTGTATTGCAAGACATTGCTCATTTACCAAGTTAAAATGTATTAGAAATGTTTGCTTGTCTTGCGGAACACTCGCAAACCACATTACTCGCAATCCAAGGTTTTATTGTACTTTTATCCTTCATGGCTAAACCGTAAGAGTTTACTCTGGGTTTCTGAAGTCTGCTTTTCACTAAACTGAAAATTTGACTTTTTATAATTATATAAAACTGCCCAGGGGCCCTTCTCATAGCTCAAAATGCAATGAAGACAATGAAAACTGATTTCACAGGTGGAAGCTTTTGTGCTATTTCAGAAAGGATGCATCAAACAGATATATTGGATCAAAATATTTTGGGTCCTATCACTACAGCAGCAATGCAGATATTCCAGAGAGCAAGAAAATGGGACAGTTCATAGGCTGTTCTGGTGTCTAAGTGATGAAGTTTATGTAGATATAGTTTAGAAATAGATCCTTCCATGTCCTTATAGTTAAATAGACATTTAGTCTTTATTAGTCAATTCCAGTCACTAGTCTTGGTAAAACTGACAAAAGCAATCATGTTAGAAAATGGTGCTATGATGCATCTGGAGCAGCCCTCTGAGAACTTAAAGAGCCCTTCCTTCAGTATAAAGAGAGCAGCTCGTGCGTTCCACTATTTATTGAACTCCTTCCAGGCAGTGCCAGGAATCAAACGATTTGCGGAAATATCTCTGACTTCTGTGTTTTGAACAAATAGTAGGCAATTGCAATTACACTGCAAAGCCCCGGATAGCATTTCGCTCCAATGGTTGAGAAAATACACACGTTGAGCCAAGTCCTACTCACCAATGTAGGCATTTTATATGCCTTTGCCACTAGGTCTGCCATTCAACAATTAGCCTCTGCCGTTTCTCAAGCTCTTTCCTAAGCTTTTAGTGAAATACAAAATGAGTGTGAGTCCAAGTGAACCTTTCCAGGAGTTCACAACCCAGTTGAGGTATCAAGACCTACTCACCTTAAAGAGCCAGAACAAGATAGAGAAATTAATTGAACACCAAATCACACGGTACCCAGAAGAACTGAGCTCAGGGATGGGACAGAGGACTGTGGCCTTGACTGCTCAAAGGAATATTCATAGAGGAGGGAGGCCTTAAAGGATGGACCTCCTCCAGTTGTTGCTAATTTGGTGCTTAATAAATTCCACATCTTGCCAGGACTGGCTGCTCAGTTAACATATGAATTAAGCTTCTATGGCACAAATGGGCAGGAAGTGAAGTATGTGTATCGTCAACTAGTTCTCTTGTGTCATTAAGTGATGGCAGATAATTCTGGCTGCCTACCACGCCGCAGGACGTTAGAGAGCCCCCAGGGCAAGCGCAAGGCTATGCCTACACAAGGCAAACATGTTCCTGCCATTCTATACGATTTGGGCCAAAATGGGACTTGTTTTAAATCTTTGTTTCACTTGCCTGCAGAGCAGGTAATGAGACAAAAGGGTGACATGTTGGGCCAAATAGTCAGCAGTTTCCAGAAACCTCTGCTTGAGATGCCATTTCTGGGGTGTCTGCAACAATAGAGAAAGTATGTCCAACTGAGTCCCTTAAGCTTTTTGAGTTAGGCTTCAGAATTCCTTAGAATGAACATATTAACAAATATGAGTGCTCCGTGGCCCCTTTAACCCAAAGATGAGCATATTAACCGCCATCTCACTCCAGCCCTGACCTCACCATGGCAGACTGTGTTCAAATCCCTCTTTACAAATATGAACCTGTGCCTTTAAGGAACTTTGAGGTTAGGGGTTCCACAATTTCCAGTAATAGCCCAACCTTCATTCGCAGAAATTTCCCCTTGCACTCTAATCTAAAAGATGCCATCTATAGTTTATCTGTTTTCCATTTTATATATGCAATAAATATGAAAAACTGTTATACTGTTACCACATGAATGACTTTAAATGCCCAACGTAGATAATGTACTTCAAGTGCATGAGATAACTCACAAAATAGCCTTTCATAAGCTGCATTTTCTTTCCTTTACTTGGGTCTTTAATATTTTAGACATCCTATCGCACCTAAAGTCCCATCTAAAACTGTATGGCCCTTGGAAACTATTTTCCAAGTTAAGGCACAGATAGATTATTTTCCCTTATATGGATAAATAAAATTCTTAATTTTGTGCATAACTTAAGTATTGATAAAAGTTGGTCCCACTAAGATCCAAGGCAGGAGACATAGTCTGGGTCTGAAACCACTGTGCCTGCTAGAACTTGATTGACTGTTTTCCTTCTCCTAAGGTACAATGGTCTCTACCTTGGAAGAACAGGAACACATTCCTTTTCCTCCGACACTCTTCAGAATTGTCCGCTTGGCTCGGATTGGCAGAATCCTGAGGCTTGTCCGGGCAGCACGAGGAATCAGGACACTCCTTTTTGCTCTGATGATGTCCCTTCCCTCTCTATTCAACATTGGTCTCCTACTCTTTCTGGTTATGTTTATTTATGCCATTTTTGGTATGAACTCTTTTTGCAAAGTGGAGCAAGACTCTGGAATTGATGACATATTCAACTTCCAAACTTTTGCAGGCAGCTTGCTCTGTCTCTTTCAGATAACCACGTCAGCAGGCTGGGATACCCTCCTCAAACCCATGTTGCAATCAAAAAGTTCCTGTAGCTCCAACTCAGAGAATTGTCACCTCTCTACCATCGCCATAGCCTACTTTGTCAGTTACATCATCATCTCCTTTCTCATTGTTGTCAATATGTATATTGCTGTGATTTTAGAGAACTTTAATACAGCCACCGAAGAAAGTGAGGACCCTTTGGGTGAAGATGACTTTGAAATATTCTATGAAGTCTGGGAAAAGTTTGACCCAGAAGCAACACAGTTTATCAAATATTCCTCCCTTTCTGATTTTGCGGATGCCCTTCCTGAGCCTTTGCGTGTGGCAAAGCCAAATAAATTTCAGTTTCTAGTAATGGACTTGCCCATGGTGACTGGAGATCGCCTCCACTGCCTGGATATTCTTTTTGCTTTCACCACTAGGGTGCTCGGTAACTCCGATGGTTTGGATAACATGAAAGCCATGATGGAGGAGAAGTTCACGGAAGCCAACCCTTTCAAGAAGTTATATGAACCCATAGTCACCACCACCAAGAGGAAGGAAGAGGAGAGATGCGCTGCTGTTATTCAAAAGGCCTTTCGAAAGTACATGAAGATGACCATGAGTGCCTTGGATGACAAACCTCCTACGCCCCTGCAGATACTCTGCAATGGAGACTTGTCCATCTCTGGGGTGGCGGAGGGCAAGGTCCACTATGACTGAGCCCCTCACCTCTACCCCTTCCTCACAGCCTCACAGCCTCGCCTCCAGCCTCTGGGCGCCAGGGGTCCACAGCTCAGTGTATCAACAAACAGTGGACTCACTGAATTAGCTATTTCATTTCAAAGTTCACTTCAAATGGTTTTTACAGAGCTATAGGATAACACTGCCTGACTATAACCACTGGCACTCTTTTAATAAGGAAGAAGATGCTAGAAAAAGCTGTAGGGGACACACTAATGTTATGATTGAAACACAGTTCAAATTATGTCAAAAGAATTTTAAAGAAATTAAAATTATAAATTATGGTTTTCCATATGTTTCTAGGTCCATTACCCAATATGTTTGTTTAATGTTTTCCCCAATGCAAGTATGTGGCTTGTCACATATAGCTCTTTTGCATGCTAAGTGAAAATTCAAAACTTGCCAATAAAGAAATACCTTATTGCAAATGTTTTTACCAACATTAAATATTTGAGGTTTATTTCAAACCTAAAAGCATGATCTTGACTTGTCAGTTACCATCCTATCTTTCACCAGCTGCAGTCTCTGTTATATATTTGGAAAAATAAATAAATAAACGAGACTTTCATTTTGCATTTTATTCAGATACGACACTGAAAATCCTCTTGTTTGGTGATTGTGTAAGTAGTGGTTTAAATGTGATGCTTCGCTTGCAGTCAAAGGTGGAAGCCAGGAGTGTGCTGATAAGCGTATAACTGTTGGCTCTTCAGAAAAAAAAAAAAAAGCCAGGGTTTGTAGCATTTACTGATTTCTATGGTGAATACTTCCATCATGGCTGATTTCAAGCTACCAAAATGATATTTCTGAACATGGAGTTGAGAGGCAATTACTACCACCAGGTCTCATGAGCTGGCCCAAGCTGGCTCCAGTACACTCCTGGCTGGAACCAGTAAGAAAGTCTCACTTGACACTGGTTAAACATCTGCAGTGGGCACCTTTGATGGATACAGCACCCTCTAAGCAGCACCTGGACTCCATGGTGGGGGAGTCATAGGACATACTGGTTAGCGTGATCTTAGCCATTTAATGAGCCCTACAGTCAGTTCTGGCTGAATGTCTGCATGAATTGCAGCCAGAGAACAACCTAGGCCTATCAAGAGAGCCGGGCCCCAGGAGTAGTCCAGGACCTTCTTAAAAACTGGAGATGCTCAGAGGCCAAACAAAACAGTAGGCTGTCAGTCCCCAAAGACTGGACTGGGGGCAAAGAACCTACATTGTGGGAATCCAGGCATGGAGGAAAACCCTGCAGAAATAGCCTTGGAATCCTGTACCTCAGTCCTGCTGGAGGAGCTGACGTGTCTGTCAGCAGCCTGGAGTCAGATGTCTGAGCCTCTGACGTGCTCCTGGCTGTGCTGGAAGTAAGGCCCGTGCCGGATGCTGGAGTGCACTGAGGGGTGATTATTTTTAATGTATATGAGATCAAACCATGTCTCGATTGTGTTCATGTCTAGGGCCTGAGTTGCGTGAGTTTTGTAGGCAGTCTTGTGCTCTGGAGCATTGGCAAAAGTAATGATATTACTATCTAATTACGATCAATATTTAAGTTTTACTTCGTGGTTGCTGTGCAGCAGGCACTGGCTAAGCGTTTGGCATGAATAATCGTATTTATATCTCACAATAACCCAGTGAATGTGAGGACGCTGGCCTGGTGGAGCCTGAGCCTTTGTGCCATGCTACAGAGGAGGCGTGGGTGTCCCAGAAACAGGAAACCTTCAAGACCCAGCCACATGGGGCTCCCATGTAGGGCTACAAGGGCCTGGTGGAAATGACCGGCTCTTCTTAAGGCACTGGGATGACCTACGTCTACCCTAAAAGATGCCTCTGAAAATGAATTTTAGGTGTTTTATGGATTCCTACCAAGTTTCCTGAAAAAGATGGCTTGCCATCATTCCAGTAGGGATACCTCCTGGCTGGAGGTAGAGGAGGTCTTGCTCATTTCAGATTACGATTTAGGGGCTCAGATGTGATCTGTTCTGTGCAAAAGCTTCGGCCCTTCCCACACACACTTGTTTCCCGCCCCCCCCATCCCCCACCCCACTTCTCCCCCTTTTTGCCAGGGCTGGATTCCTAGAGCCAGCTCCTGGGGAGAGAGAGCACAGGATCTGCTTGGCTTTTGCAAGAAGCTGAGCCATTCTTCCTTCACTAGATGGCAGCAAATGCCCGACATGTTCTTTTCTGAGCATTGCACAGCATCTGTGGGTGAGCCTGGCTTTCAAAGGGCCAGAGGGCGAAGGAGATGAGAACCAAGGCAGGAAGTGGTGAATTATCCAAACCCTGGGTGCGTGCTAGAAAGCTTGTACTCCCCAGAGATAGCTCCCACTGTGCAAGGACCCAGGATACCCCCAAAAGACAGGTTGTTCTGAGCTCTGTCATCCTGGGGCCATGCTAAATGTCCATGGCAAACAGCCCACAGGCATATGAAGCCAGTCCCCTTGTCCTCTGAGTGTTCTCTTCTCCAGGCGAATCAGCCCCTGCTCAATTCCATCAGCAGACATGTTCCTGAGGGCCAGTGTGGCACCACCTTGTGTCAACTCCTAACCAACGGCCCTTAACCTCAAGAGCTTGTGTGCTAACTGTGAGGAAAATCAGATAAGTGTTTATGTGATGACAGTACAATGCAATATGACAAGTGCCATAAACCAGGGACACACCTCTGCTCTGAGAGTGTGGTGGAGGCAGGCTCCCGGGAAGGCTTCACAAGGGAGAGGGGGCATCTCAGACGAGCTCGGTAGATGTGGAGGATTGTATCAGGGGGAGGCGGCTCGGGAGGGTGTTCGAAGTGGAGGAGAGAGTACAGGCAGCACCATAGAGTGTAAGGAGTGGAGAAAGTGAAGGACCAGCTACTCGGTTGACTGGATTTAGCGTGTAGATAGTGGAACAGCAGCAGCAGAAATCTTAGACATGGACTGTTGAGGAGAGCCTGAAAAGCCAGCGTGAGGTGTTATAACATATTTAGGAAATAGAGAGGCACTGAAGGTGTTTGAACAGAGGAGGGAAATGAACCAAATATAGGATGCAGGGTGGAAGAGATAAGAAAGAGACCAGACTAGTGGTCCTGGTGGGGAAGAGGCGCTGAGTGAGGAAGGAGGCAGGGGACAATGTGGGGTGATTAGGATGCTTGTGCCAAGTGACTGGCCGTGTGGGAGGAGACCAGGGGGGCCTTAGGATTTGGGGTCAGGGTGACAAGATAGAGGACAGGACAAGTTACCAAGTTAATGAGTATAGGAAGGGCAAGGTATGTAGGCATGTATGTATGTTTATTTTCATGGCTGAGAGAAAAGAAAATTTAAAAACTAATTCTGTTTTCAACACTTTTGAAGGTTTAATGTGTCAGGTCCAGGTGACAACGTCCGGCCAGGCCTAGAACTTGAGAACGGGGCATAAACAGGATCCTGAGCACAAGATTACAGCTGAACCCCCGAGAGCAGATGAAATCGTGGAGGAACAAGCGTACCCAGATCTAGAAGAAGGCAGAGGACTCGCCGTGGGGACATGTTCTCAGAAGATAAAGATGAGGAGGAATGAGGCAGTTCAGAGGAGGACGTGGTGAGGCAGGTGAAGGTAAACACCATAGCATGCAGTATGGGCACAGGACAGGCTTTACGAAAAGTTCACAGCCAACGAGATGAGATACACGGTCCCAGCTTAACATCCCTTCCACCAGGAAGCACGCAAAGAACCAGGGCACAGCGTGGCTGTGTGTCCAGGGAAGGATCCCATTCCCTACCCCTCTACCTTTCCGTTGAGCCAGGATGCGAGCTGGCCTTATGAAGGACCCAGGCTCAGGAGCCAGCTGTTCCAGGAGCTGTCTTGGAATGTCAGCTCCTAGCACCCAGGGCCCTTGAAGATGTTGAAATCCTGTACAGCTCCTCCTGCTCGAGGATGGGGAGCCGCTAGTCCCAGATAGTTTGTTGCCTGGCAACCCAGACAGAACCTCCAGGGTCATTCAGTGGGCAACCCTGTCCCTTGAGGCACAAGGAGTAATCAGAGAGGCGGTGAGGAATCAAGTGCTAACATTTACTGAGCACTTATTCTGGGCTCGGTAGCCACTTTACCAGTGTTGCGTCCTTCCCTCCAGCGCTATTAGAGATAGATGATGTTTAATCTTCATTATTCTGATGAGAAAACTGAGGCATGTAGAGAAAATAAGAGGCTTGTTCAAGGCCACTGGCCCTGGCAGGATTCGAACCCAAGTCATTTAGCTCCAGAGCTCTAGCTGTCAGTCACTACACCACGCTGCCCCCCAGACAAAAAGGGGTAGTGTGGATGAAGTTGAAGGGAAGGGACAGAGTTTGCCTGGTAATCTCTGCGTAGCTTTCACCATCCATTTCTTTTCCTCTGGAGATAAAGCTAGCCTTCAAAGTTCTGACTTCGTGGAAACGTGTGGGGAGATGCTGAGCTCCCTCTCCAAATTTAACATCCTCAGTTCTATCGACACACTCAGTTCCCTAATATTTTGATGTAGTTTCCATCCTTTTACCACTCGCTCCCTTCTTCTCCGGGCAAACTCTGGCTCACCTTTTCCCTCTTGCACCTGGTGCCCAGGAGGCTGGAGGAGCTGCCTCTTCCTTTGGGACAATATACTTCTATGAATGTAGACTTCAAATGTGCTAGTGTGACAGTGGTGGACCCAAGAGGTATCATGGGGGGGTGCCAATTTAGTTTCCCTTAATCTCCATCCGTCCCCCAACCCAAGTTGCCCTGAATGAGCATACAATCTAACTGAAAACATGGTCTGCTGCCATTGCAGCGTCGAGTCCCCTTAGCTCCTTTCCATACACTAAGCTCTTTCTATATTTTAAAATCACTTCTGGAGCCAAATCACACTGATGGCTCATACTCTTTTTTCCCCCTAGCTCTATTGAGGTATGATTGACAAATAAAAATTGTACGTATTTAAGGTGTGTGATATAATGGTTTGATATACATATACGGGTACATTGTGAAATGATTACCGTAATCAAGTTCATTCACACATCCATCATGTCACATACTTTCTTTGGAGGGGCGGTGCTGAGAAAACAAGGAGTACTCTTAGTGAATTTCTAGTATACTATACGGTATTATTAACTATCGACACCATGCTGTATTTAGATTACTAGAATTTCTTCATCTTATAACTGAAAGTTGGTACCCTTTGACCAAAGTCTTCCCTTTTCCCCAACCCCTAGCTCCTGTTAACTACTGCTCTGCTCTCTAGTTCCATGAGTCAAACTTTTTTAG